GCTTTTATACTGACTTTTACTAAAACAAGTCAGACAAAAGGGGCATCAAAGCTAACATCAGTTGCATTCTTACGGCCTGTTCAGGAAGGATTTATGCTCTACACAGAGGTTGAGCACTTACCTTTATTTTCCCTCTGCTATTCATTATTCAGGTGCCTTCCCTCGGGTCAGAAAAGCTCTCATTTCATTCAGGACTAGCTCATCAGTATACTTCCTCTTTGGTGGCTTCCCCTGACAGGTGATGTACAGATATGCACAGATATCCAGTCCTCCTAGTTCTTCTTCCATAGGCCATTTCAGAGTGGTTACGTGCTTCCCAAACTCCTAACATAAGAGCCCACTCCTACTGTACCATTTAAAAGCTCCAACAATGCGGGACATTGCTCATTTTTCAGTCAGACATGAAAGAGAAATATGCAAATGGCAAGAAGCAAGAGACCCTTGATGTGCTAAGTAGGACTAAGTTACTACACTACGCCTTAGGCCTTCAAACCTTCCAGTGATGTTTCTTCACATGGCTGTCTCACCATTCATTAAAACATTGCAGCAAGCAGCCTCAGAATTGTCCATTTAAAAGATAATGCAATTGGGGCAAAGTGAAAGAGTTCCTTTTAATCCTCAGGTTGCTATTTTCCTCATTTTTCCTTACTACTCTTATAGCTTGCACCTTCTGAATAAATTGTAAAGCCAGAAGAAGCCTATTGCTGTATTTATTCACATATTTCCCTACATTAACTAGTCCCTAAGGTGGATGTGAAATAAAGAAAAATATCGGCATGTGCCCGTAGGTTAAAGAGGAGAAATCAGTGAGCACTCCCTCTGCTAACCAGCCTGCCTGGACTGACTGACAGTTGAGAAGGCTGCTGGGCTTGGCGAGAGAGATGTGCCAAGAGCAGGTGAGAAACAGGGCAGCTGCCAGTCTGTCTTCTTGTGAATCAGACACGTAAGCTTCAAATGAAAAGAGAGAAAATCTAAATATATAGACACACCACTTTTCACCTCTTGACAAGTTACCTTCTTTCCTCTGTTTCTCACAAACACAACAATCTATAAGGCAGATTCATTTAAAATAATATTTTCGTCTGAACAGCGAAGAACTAGGAAGGAAAGAACTTACTGTCATTAGAATCTGTATATCGACAGATTTATTTGGTAAATTGGAAAAATCTAAGAAAATAATGGCAATGAAGAGTCCCCAGATTTCTGCTTACTTATCATTTTCCTCAAATTTAGAATGAAAAAGTGGGGAGGGTGACAGGGAAGTGTGCAAGTAAATATGGCACATAACATTTTACAAGCTTATTGCTGGTAAGTTACGCTATTAGAGCTGCTCAAGGAGTACAATCTTATGAGAAAACGTCCCTCAGAACAGCAGAGGGGAAAAAGCCACGTTAAAAGAGAAAATAAACATGTAATCATTGCAGAAGCCACATTAGTTAGGTAGGTGTAGGGGAAAACAACCAGCCTGTTCTAAGAATGGACTTCCTCACAACTTTAAAATAGATTTCCTCATATATACAAATCATACTTGTCTTCTTTCCTAATGAGTACTATCTTTTTGTATAAAACATAATTTTCAAGGTAGAAAGATAGAAACCAGAGGATTTCACTCACATATGTACAGAAATATTTACTTTGTAAGACAAAAAACTCAAGATCACAGTATACAGTAGTTATTTATTTTAATACTTGAAAAGGTCGATGATGGAAAAAATAGGTTTATCATGAGAGTTTATATTGATTAGATTTATTTTACCATTTAAAAAAGTGCTGCTTCTAGGTTATCCTAGCCAGATATAGAACACTTCATGACACATGCAGCTACTGTAATGTACTATAATAAACACGGCCATTATAGACAGATTTACGCTTGGGAGGAAATTCAATAGTAGCAATGGTGACTGTTTATTTAAACTAAAAACATTGATAATATACAAATCTTTTTTCTCATTTAATTGAAAGGGCTATAAAATTCAACATACTGACCAAGGAAGCAACATAATCACTTAGGTCACGCCTCTGCTAATTGCCTTTAGTTTACTCTTTCCTTAAAGGAGAGACTCACGCTCAGCTATACAATTCTCTAGACTGCACAATGGCTTCAGGGCTGGCCTACCACAAGTGACTGAAGTTGTGTTGGTAAGCTGACACTGACTCGTTTTGTTTTTAAAAACGGAGAGAAAATGGCAAATTGTGCCTCATGTACTTAAAGAACCCAAGGATCATTCAGAGTAAATGAAATAAATAAGTGATCCATGGGTAAACACAATCTCTGCGCTGACGTAAACCTAGGAGAGTGAGCCAACTGAGCACTAACAATACCACGGAGAAACGTCTAGAGACATCATTTCTAGAACTCAGTTTGGGAGACCATGTCTTGCCTGAATATGTACATTATTTACAAAATATTCCCTTTTGGCCTCTGAAATTTAGCCATTTTAGTTTGGCTGTTAAGCTGTTTCCATATGCTAGCCAATACTGCAGTTATAACTATCATTAAAATACTCTTATGCATGAATTACAAATATTAATAAAGTAACTCTGCATGTATAAATATCTTAATATTTCTAGCAGAATTTAAAGCATTCAGAATGTACATAAAAGTATTTGTTTTTGGTAGGGTCAGTATTTTTGTATTTTTAATCATCGTTGTTTCAATAATGCTTTGTACATAGCAAAGCCCAAAACTGCAAAAACAGTAGCACCAAAACTTGCTCGAAGCCAAAACGTGGAGCTCTTGAGGTCAGCTTGTGTCACGTGCCTGTAGTCAGAAAATATAATTAATGTTTAAAACATGATTAGTATGAAAATACCAGCTATATTAACAGCCTACTTTTAGGGAAGTATTAGCACACTTGTCAGGCTAATTGCATACAGTAATGCTTACCAAAAACATTTATCAATAAAGTCACATGTACAATGCTTAGATAATCATTATCTTAAGTCAGAATGCAGACACTAATAAAGACAAATGTCTTTAAAATTAGCTACTATTTGAGAGTAAACAACATCTGAAATTTTATACATTTTCTTCACATGGGAAACGGAGAACTTAGACAAATCAACCTACCACTTTTTTAATACCACCACAGTCCTTCAAATGAGAGGTAACAGATATCTCACAATTTTGAGAGTCAATTTCATGGAACTTCATGTGCAATCTCCTGTCCCCAGGAACCGAAAGCTATCTTGTAAGCAGTTAAGCGACAAGTGACAATACTTTTCTAAGAGCAATGCTAAAATTCCACTTTGGAAACATTCAGCCCCATAAAAATTTACCAAAAAATTCCAAAGGGGGAGGGGAAGGTTTACCAATTTGCATTAATTTGGTTACTGTTGATTCAAGAAGAAAAGAAAAAAAAAAAACCAAACGCTGGTATTAGTCAGACAGACAGGCAGTGACAATGGTACCAACTAAAGGACATAATGTAACATGATGGACTGAAAGGCAGATGACATAAAAGAAGCTGTATTATGCATGACAAGAACAGGGACAGCCTGTACCACAAACTGAGTTTGTGAGCATGCTCAGTTAATAACACTGCTAAGCACCCTTGAGAGTCTCAAGTATGACAGCTTACCATGAAGAGGATAAAGCTTTAAAGCAAAGGTTGGAACGTTGTAGTCAAGCGTCACTGAAGTTTTAGTTACGTGAATACAATTGAGGAGTTGTAGAAAACTTACAGAATTAACAGCTTAGAGAGACTGTCCAGTTTAAGTTATTTTACAACTAAGTTAAACAAACAGATTTGAAACAAAAGTCAGACAGACATCATTAAAAGACCAAGACACTGCCATATGCAAAAGAGTTAAGGGCCAAGAATATAAATTGTACAAAACTACTCGCCTCAGTAATAGTCGAAAGAGTGAACAATCAGATTAGTTATCACAAAATGCAATGTGCACATCCCTAGAAACAAGTCGACAATGCAAGCCAGGGTGCTCCATGCTTACCACCACGGCAAAACCACACACGGCACTCCAGTTTCTTATCTTCCTTGGGCTATTTTTTTAAAAAATCACTCCTTACATAATTGCTATTTTACAAAGCAAAGTGATAACACAGGCTCATTCCACCTTGCGAGTTAGTTCTTCCAACAGGCAATGTTTTATTTTTTTTAAAGTTAGGGAAGGGAATACTTAAGTTTCAGTTTTTCCAGCTGGAAAAACTCCAAGAAGGCCAACCTACTGGTTGTGAGAAGTGTTACCTGGCTTCAAGAAAAAGTGGCCCATGAGATGACTCCATGAAGATGGAATCTTCTACAGAGTGGACGGCGTGCACCTGGTGGGTAATACTGCCTTCGTCGTCTGCCAACAGCATGGCACCCCACTCAGCTACCCGGGCTCTTAACCTTTATGCACATGCACACAGTTTGCAGTTCATAGCAGAGCTCACAAAAGAAGGGGACTGAAAATAACATCTCTCAATTAAATATCCCACACACAAACTGAGCTGCCACCTTATACGATGCATCTCATGCTTTCTATATTTAAAATAAATGTATTCTATAGCAAGCTTCCAAACTTAAAAAAAATCTCTCTCTATGTACTCTTTTAAGACTCACATACAGGCAAGGAAACCTAAGGCTCCTACATACATTCTCTATGCATCCCTCAGAGGCTGGTCTTGGTATATCCAAAACACTAAGAGAAGCCCTTGAAACCAATACCACAAGCAGCCCTATCAATATGTGGTGACCGTAGTATTCATTCAAAATGAGGCTAACAACTATTTGCATGAAGTTTATAGATGCTTCTAATTTCAGACTACCAAAAACTACAACACACATCTGTAAAAACTTAAGTCCGACACCCCAAACTCCTAGACTGTCATGGACCTATGATGCGAGTCTCAAAGTTTACAACACCAAGTCATTAGAGACATACAGAATTTAAAGTGAGAACACAGCCTAAAAGTGTGTAAGAGGTTTTGCCTCATCTTTGGTTTCTCTGTGATTTTCATGTGTATTCACTGACAAGATTTTTTTTAAATTTTTAACATTTATTTTTCAATTTAGGGGAAGGAGAAGGTTAGGACTAAACTAGCTGTAACCACATTAAAATCAGGCAAAACGATTTCTCATAAATATTCTTCAAGTATGGAATCTGTTTCACACAGCTCCCTCTGTTGTATTTTATTAAGTATTACCATCACGAAATAATATATTCTGACTGACTTTACTGCTTAGTTTTCTTTTGCATTTCCAGATAGTAATTATTATTTTCCCCAAGCTATAGTACAGCCTTCAATAGGCAAAACAACAGTTCCCATTTATCTAATACATGAGAAATAATATAGACACATGCTCAACATAGAGCTAGTTTAAAACTTAAGGCAACTATTAACTCATAAAATACATTTCAATGACTCCATCAACATTACAGTAGTTGTTTAAGACACTTTTAGACACGGAAAGCTACCTAGAGAACTATTTTATGTCTTCACCATGAGCATTTAAAAGCTGCACTGACCAGGCTCCATTTATAACAGAGAAAGCATCTATAAGGGACGGCTCATTTGCCCGTCCTTGGCTAAGCCACATTTGCTAATTAGCTAACTGACAACACCTGAAGAGAGAATAGTGCAATCTTAGGACCCTGTTGTCCGTAAGTATCAGGAACTAAGCAATGTTTGTCATTTCAGGTCTCAAGCAGAAGCAGAGTAACAGTTTCATAAAGCTGCTCCTGAGTTCATTTCTAAACCTCAAGCAAAAATAATTCTTCTACAGTTCAAAGTATAATTCTTTCAAAATGACTCAAAAAATATCATCTTAGAATAAATTATAATATTTTACTGCATACTTTTTTGTTCCTCTTAAAGTTTATTTTTCTGACCATTAAAAAGGTAATATATGTTCATTATAAGACGTGGAAAATAAAAGCAGGAAGGAAAAAAAATCACCTAAAGTTCTATCACCTAAGGCAACTAATTAAAATTTGGGATACTTCCTTTTAGACTTTTTCTATGTATTTCTTACATACCTGCAAACAACATGCACAGTTTATATCATTTTACATCCTTTCAAAAACTTACTATTACATAAAGGCTTTTCCATAAATTATGGAAACATCATTTTAAATAGCTGCATTCCATTTCATTCTTCCATTGGTGGCTATCTCCATTTCCTGGTGACTATAATGAAAGTGATGAATACCTTTCTTCATAGGATTTTTCTCTGTGTTTAGCATAGTTTCCTTAAGACAGACTTCTCCAAAATGAATATTACAGGGTGAAAGATGTGTGTGTAGATTTTTTTTTAATCTATTGATATACCAGAATCACCATATTTTCCCACTCTATATGGAAAGATAACTTAGTTCAGCAGTATCTCTTTTTAGAACATAAGACATAATGACTAAATACTAGAATATAACCTTAATTAAGCTTTTGAAGCTTTTTAGAACTTTTCAAGTTCCTAGGTGGAAAATTCCTGTGTGTTGGATGCTGGCTTTCCTTCTTAGGAGTGCTGAGGGCCCATATGTCAATCAGATGACAAGTGCTTCTCGACACAAGTGTGGGTGCCAACCAACATATTTGGACTTGGGTATTATTAAGGCTGCTCCTTAATAAGGCAGAGAGAAGGAAATGTTTCAAAATTCAGGCAATAAAGAGTTAAACTAAAAACTGTTCACGTGAACAGTTACACAAGGTGTATAACAGACTGACCAAAATTCCTATGAACCTTTGCACAGAATGCCTTAAAAGAAGGCATACAAGATGCTTTTGATTAACTCTGCAATTTATGGTGAAGATAAGAACAATGAACTAAAATATTTATTGGTTCAATGTATTTCACCAATAATAAGGAAATGTTACCAATCACAATACTTAGAAATATAAAATAATCAAATTCTAAAAGGCTCACTGGAATTAAACCTATTCTAGCTATTACCAAATAGGGTATTTTTAATATTGTTTTTTATGTGTCACAGGACTTTATATCTGGGGTATAAAACTATATTGCAGAGGCCTAAAAGTTTGCAAAACTTAGAATTTGAGGAAGGGGGAGAATTCAGAAAGGTCCAGACAGAAACTAACCTTGACTTCGACTGCAGACTATTATGCAGAGGAAAGAAAAGTTCAGTAGAGCATACTCAAAAAGAGCGAGACTAAGAGACTGTTGAAAGAGTAGCTCCACCCACACAGTCACTTCCCACACTTTTCAGAAATAAACTTGAATTTCCTATTTTTCATTCTTCTCCTCTCACCGTTTCATCCTTTTCAAACACAACTCAGAAGTGTACAAATGCACTAATACAGTCTTCTAATTTTATAATTCTATCTATATATGTATCTCAGGTATGAATTTTTAAGTTAACACTTTGAAACAGCTTATTTTACTGTAATGCATGTAACCTAAAGTTACAAGGGCTTATAGATATTACATATAGCTTTTTCCTATTTGCAGTTACATATCTCAAGTTGAAAACTGTACTGAGGTCACCAAAACTATAGTTAAGTTTTCTGGTTTTAAATATCTCATTTTTTAAAAAGTCTCCTGGATCTCCCTGCTTTTATTCCTCAGTGTTTCAGCCTGGTGAAGTAATTTTTTATATTTATTTCTAATAAAAATGCCATTACTCCTAATAAAAATTTTACTAATAATTCTCCTAACTGAACTAGTAGGCATATTTTAAACAGATATTTCTCAAAATGGGCAAAGAAATCAAAATACAGTGTCCAAAAAAGATGAACTGTCACACAAATCATAAGAAAGCTGTTAACTGAGCATGCCTAACTAGTAGCATGATTTGGAAAAGGACACAGGTGCACATCAATGTCAAGAAATGCTTCACCAAACATTAGAAGATCAAAATTTCTAGATGATCGTAGCTACATGGGAAACACATAATATCTACATGTTAACTACTGATACTTAAAGATCTGAATAGGCAAACTTCACCTTGTCATGTCCTTTAATATACTAATATACTAACCAAATGGCAAAAATTTTTCAATTATAAGCAGCAGCAGCTTACTTAATGAGAATCTATAACACAAGCTCTTATATAATTTTAAACGTATGACTATGTATCCAAATTCAAAGAAAAGCCTTGTAAGGACCTTCATATAAGAGAACATAGCAGTTTCATATGAAATTAAAACACGGGACAGACTTCCGCGGATACAATATTTTACTATAACACAGTATCAGAATCTCTATAACATTAAGATTTCTAGGAACCTATCCTCTTCATAAGGCGATCCTATGAAAAGGCAGTTCATTTAGGTGTGATGATAGTAAAATCCTTTCTTCAAAAAAAGGGCTCCTATATTAAGTAACATGATTTTAAACTATGTAAAGGAGCAGCTTAGGTGATCATTAAAGCACTACGGGCAAAGGAAGTAAGTCATTAATGAATGGCTTAAAATAAATGTCACATACATCCAATTTTAAAAATACGTTTAAAAACACAATGGGTATGATGACTGTCCATCACCTTTGGGTCTCTGCAAACACTCAGTGTGAACTATGCACATGCTTGCCAAAGTAAAATGCGGCTACCAAACTTAAGAAGTAACATGAACAAATAGTTTATATGGTTAATGCAAATAATACAAATGGGATGAAAGAAATCCTAAAACTAAAATACGCATCAAAGAAAATCACACCAAAATAATAAATTATAAAATAAACATCCAGATTAAATTATAGGTTAGGAGAAGTGGGAGGATTATACACAGAAACCTAGCTGGGAAAAGGATGGAGAGGAGTTAAAAAAATGACTAAGCGGCACAGACAAACAAATGAAAATGAACACCTAAAGGAGGAGACAAATTAAATTTCACAGCACACTACAGTATAGCGACATCCTCATGCAAAGTAGGAGTATTCTAAGGTCAGAATAATAAATACTTAGTAAACCAAAATCCTGGGTAGTTCAAACCAACAATCAAGCTCACTCCTACATAATCATTTTAACACTTTCAGATTAAAAAGTATTTACATATTAAAAAAGTTATTTTCCCCAGCAACATGATTTACACTATTTGAAATAAAACATTGCCAAAGATTAAAATCATCTGACCACGTTAATCATCTTCCAAATGTATTTAATTCAAATAATTCCAGTTATTCAGAAATTATTCTCAAGAAGAACATAAACCTATCCAGATCTGAAAGGTTAAGCGATAATTACCAAAGAACAAAAAGCTACATGTCAGATACAGAGTTTCTCTCTCACATGTTGAAATCAATATACATTCAATTAAATTGGAAAGAAAAAAAATTTTATTACTGCTTTCTACCTAAACTATGTAGTGTCAGTAAATATGCTCAAAAAAAGGGACAATCTTTTCTGGTGAAAGACAGATAGCTAGGGAAAAAAGGAAAATTTCAGGAATGAATCTGCTGTAACTGCCTAAGTATAACTTAATTAATTAGGCTTAAATTTTCTCATGATCAGGTTATAGCACTTCCTTTTTTAGCACAAGGGACTACAGTAGTTGAAAATATAACCAAAGGTTAAAGAAAAATCTTTAACAACAACACATTTAGAAAGATACTTAAAGGGAGGTCCATATCTTCCTCATCTTCACTATTTTGCCCCAGCTCACAGCAGGATCCTATCTAAAGCAGGTACTTAAATTAAGTATTTGAGTGAATAAATCAAAAGGGGGGGGGAGAGGTAAAGGGAGAATGTGGTCTCAAACATGTATTATCTCTGGAAGTAGTTTCTAATTCAGTGACAAAAATGTTTACAAGCACACAAAAACAATGTGCTAATTTGAGACCAACATGTGTGCACCAATATTTGTCTATTAATATCCTTGCAGATATTTAATAAAATGTTTTGCTTAAATAAAAATTTTAAAACTGCTGTTTTAACAAACAGTTCTAAATCGAGAATTAAATAAGTTCTAAGTCACTAGGCATGACAGATTTCTAAAACCAAAGACTTCAGAGCTAGTGTTGAGTGAGAATTCTCCCCACTGAATTACAGTGAAAATTTCTTAAACGCCTCTTAATCAATCAATCCTTTTTCTGCTTACATAACAGCAAGATATCCCCAGCATGGCAAACCAAAGGTCCAACCACCAAAGGCTGCCAAGCCCGAAAAACAGGAGGGAAAGGTAGTTCCAGCCTTATCCAGCCACTCCATAACTTTTTCAAATTTTTCAGGAGAAAGGAGTAAAATTGGAGGGGCAAAGGGTCTCAGAGACATTTTCATTGCTTAGGTATACTTTTTTTTTCTTCATTTTCACAACTCTACACTATATCTAAAGACGGAGGTTGCAAACTGGTGGCCTGTAAACACGCTTTGTTTGTTCTGATTAGTACTTTAAAATTTAATTGCCATTACTCAAATATCAGGAAATTTCACATAAAAATCCTGATTTCTAGCGTCTCATAGAATCAGAAGATGTGGTAACACCAGGCCTGGACAACAACGAATGGCCAAAGCCGAGTTGTGGCTGCGTCTTTCGGGCAGGGCCTATCATAGTCCCCACCTCCCTTACTTCTTATCGTTAGCCACCTTCATTCATTTACACTATTCATTCAGACCTGGCAGGCACGTAAGTTTTGGGCCTCCACTCCACCCACCTTATCTACATCCTTTTGTAAACCAGAAGAAACTTCAATACAGAACTCCTAAATTTCTACTGTACTTCTACAAAATAAATTATTGAAATACTCCCAGGGATCAGGAAGGAGTCCTTTGACAGGTACACTAGTTTCCCTCCTCTGTTTCATTCTTTCCATTCTTGATTACCAGATGTCAGTGATGCATGCTGACATTACGATTACATTACTTCTAGCTTATAAATGGATATGACAAAATGTACTGATTTCGAGGATCACTGTACAGAGTAATTCACTATGAGCAAGCTCATCCATTAATGCACACCCAACCTATTTCATTGGGAAGCTGACTAAATCAACCCAAGAATAAAATTATCAAAGATGCAGACAATGAATCAATCTGCAATTATGGACAATTAAGAGCTTCTAGAATAAATTAAATAGTTCATGATCAGCAATTACTAGGAGCCAAGGTGGGTTCACCAAGAATAAGACATCAAATAGATACCACTTCCTCATTAGGTAAAATTACTACATTAGCACATCAGAGGAATGTGGTAATAATTATATATTGATTTCAAAAAAGCCCTCCATGAAATCTCTTGTAAGATAACAAGGTAAAATATGGGCTGGATAATAAAATATTCTTAATTGACAGAATAATCTTTCCCCAAGAATCCTGAACCCGTGTCACCGGGAAAAGGGTTCTCCAGTGGAGAAGAGTAGGGCTTCCTCACTTTAGTTCTCTCTCTCTCCAATCTCTGAGTGTTTAATATTATTTTTTATCAATAACTTGAAAGATACAGAAGACAGATCTACCAAATTTGCAAATAACACAATGCTGAGAGAGAGAGATAATGGGACAAATGACAGAAATAATGTTTGAAATGACTGAGCTAGAACAAATGGATCAAAAAGAAGAATATGACATTTAATAGAGATACATACGTATCTGCATTTAGATTCAGAGAGTCAACTAAAAATGTTAAATACACAATTAGAGAGGAAGGGACACTGCCTTAATAGCACTTCATATGAAAAAATTTGATTTCAATTAACCCCAAGATTAATATACATCAACAGTGGGAGGGGGCTGCTGAAAAGTTAATTCATACAGTAGACAGGTGCCGTCCTAACTGTGGAACATGACTGCCCACCGTTCCAGGCTAGTCAGACCACACTTGGAGCACTGTTCTACATTCTCAGTGGCACCTTTTAAGAGGTACTCTGAAAACCTACGGGGCTTTCAGATGAGGACAACCAGGAATGATGAGGTCACTAAACCATCTAATTTAAGAAAAGGCTGGAAGAAATGGGGATGTTCTACCTGGAGAAGAGAAAATTAGGGGAGACATGATGGCCGTCTTCAAATGTCTGAAGGATTGCTATGTTGAAGAGGGAGTAGAATAGTCGTGTGTTGTTCTAAAGGGCAGGACTAAAACTAAAGGAGAGAAAGTTACAGGGAAATCATTTTAGTTAAAAAAAATAATGAAAAGCAAAGCAGAAGCAAAACCCCTCTCCAACGAGGAAAGCTATCAGCAGATACAGAGCACTCTCTCAGAAGAGCTTGAGGAAGGCAATCGAACGGGAGGTCAGGCCAGATGAATTCGAGAATCTCTTCCAACTCTACCATTTCCGACACCAGAGCTCCTGAGTGTTGTTTGGTTTGAACTAGCCTTACATTTTCTCAGACAGTTGTCATGAGAGAATCTGCCTGTGTCACACTACTTTATAAGATGCCATTCAAAGGACAGAGGCAGAGCTGTACAACCAAATGAGCGTGGTGATCCCCTCAAAGCAGTCACCTGAGATGGCTGCATTCTTATTCCAGAGCTGCTAGTGCTCAAAACGTCACTGAAACTCTTTTAGAATGCCTTCAAAGTCAGTTTCTGACTCATGGACGACAGAGTCTCATTGTTTCATAGCCACGTCTGCTATACTGCTGGTGGATACAAACGACTCTACTCAGGTGGTATAGTCGGAGCCTAGCCCTCAGTGAGAGTCCAATGGTAAACCAAATAACCGACCCATTTCTAATCAAAACCTATTTAGCTTGATCATCTGTCTTAATCAAGCCTAGCTCCCAATGACATCTGAATGAGTTTAAAAAACTAATTTATCCTTAGACACATAAAAATTTGACATCAGGTACAAATTAATATTACATAAGTTCTTAAATGCTCACAAAATGTAAAATCAATTTGAACAAAGGTAGCATGACCAGAATAAAAATATAACCTTCCAAGCTCACTGCTTTGAGGGGATATATACCTCCTATTTCTCTGTTTTTCTTTCTTTTTGAAAAACATATTATTTTCTAGGCATATTTCATGTTTTGGCTCAATCATAAAGACCTCAAAAACTAGGACTACAGATCTTTTTTCTTTTCCATATTCCTTTGAATCTTTAAAGTTGCTTATTATCCTCATTTCCAGAAACTAGTTTCTTTCAAATAAACATTCCAGGTCCTTATAATAGAGAATGTTTTCAAACCTAAGATACTGTTCACATTGGTATGGTTTTAATTAGCTGTATTATGTGAATGTCAGCTGAGTATACCATAACATTTGGGATCAACATTTCTTTTCCTTACTACCAAAGTCCTAATTTGGTTTTATGAGTCTCAGCCAAAAGATTTTAATCTCCCTACACATATTATCCTCTAATACGAAAGATACCTTAACTCCTTTAATGAAAAAAAAAAAATCCAAAAGCTTATTTCATAGTCCCCTAAATATACCTATTAATTTAAAAACATTATTAAGGATGATTCCCAAACTAAACATTGTCACCACAGTGAGAATTTTAGTGGAAGTTAGTTGGGCATCAGTCAGCTTGTTGTCTTTGTAGTGAGTATCTGTATAATAAACAGTTATCCACTTTTTTCTTTTGTATTTTAACAGAATGCCTGGTACCCAGTAAATAAAGTTAAGAACCTGTTAAGAACTGCAGTGAAGATTTTGTTCTTTACAGATTGCAGCAAGTCTGAGTTGAGGAAGTTCTGACAGATGCAAAATGTACACCTGTTGCAGGTGCACATACAGCGTAACCGGGCATGGCTGCGAAAACACACAGAAGGACAGGAGTTGAGTTCTTACTTACAAATATGGCACAAGTCAGGGTGTGCCAACTTAAAAAAATAAAAGATTTAGGCATAAGCAACACTAAGGAAAAGGATAGTGTGGGGCATGCTAAAGTTGTGCAGAATTCCACATTTACTAGAAACAAACAGCAATAGCTCCCTCCTCCCTCCCTACAGAAAATCTAAGGAAAATTAGCTAATACTTTTGCTATTTTGGAGGGGGGATGGAATTACTAATATAAAAGTGGAATTTCAGTGGAATAAATATGCACAGCAATAGATGGCACCCTCATCTAAATTAATGAAAAGAAAAACTGAGTAAGCCATAGCACCCACCAAAGGACAAGGTTTGCTAGCATTTAAATCATCATTCCCTCTTCCTCCTCCTCCCTCAGCATACACACATGCCTGAAAACCAGGAAGGAGAAGAGTGACAAATACACAAAAGAGTCAAAAGACGAGTATACTCAACCCTGAGAAGATATGAACATCGTGTTTAATTCATTAAGCACCCTGGCTCCCAAAGGAAAACAAAGTGCTTCAGAAATTTCCACTTGAATAAATTATGGGGTTAATTTCATCTGCTATTATAACACAGCAGCCAAGTATGATAGTATGAAACTCTGGGTAAGGATGCAAAAATCAACAATGGATCCAATTGATAGTAGACAGGAAATTTAGGGAGGCTTTCTGACTCCTTTCTGGTTGAGCGGAGTTGCACTAAGTTGGTACAGGCACACGGGCAACCCACTTCACCTCCACCCTAACAAACAAAGTAGGGGTCTCCAATGACTGCTCAGTGGTCAGAACCACTCAGACATACAAAGCCATCACACCACCCCTGAAGGGGTACTGGCGCAGAACCCATTCAGAAGAGCGCCACCTGATGAATCAATGCCATCACTTCCTGTAACACCTGAACATTTTTTAGAGGCTTCTCAGTCAAAGGACTGGCCCAATCTGACTTGGCTTAGCTTGTGAGATCTGATGAGACCACAGCGCACAGTGGCACGGTTGTGGAGATTAGCAGCATCCCAATAATGCCTAATCCCAACATGAAGAAAAACAAGAATTAATTTTTTAAAAATACTCTTATTGGCTTAAGACATTCCTTTTTAAAACTTGACTTGTGATGATGAACATTTCACTGCTACTAAATCACTGCCAGCTGTCATACTGGAATCCATCTGCTATTTTATAAATTGAATCTGACTCTTCAACATAGACAGGCTCCACCCACCAAAAAGGAGGGATGCAAAGTATGCTTAGCAACAGGGAGATGCTTCATGAGAAGTCGTTTGGGATTAACCATATAAACAAGTGTTCATGTATGTACATTTATTATATACACACACACACATACACACACACAAATTGCAGTAAAATGTTTTAAAGATGCAGATCTAAAAACACTGCTGCAGTTATTGACAAGATCAAAATAGTGCACTTACATAGTAAAAATAGACACCATAATATACAGTTAGGCAGTAAGCCTGACCAAGCAGTGCGTTTCTGGATAGTTACTAAATGTTAATTATGGCAAGAAAGGAGATTTGGTCATCTATAAGAAAACGTCAGCAAAATCCCACAGAAGCCATAAAGAAAAAGTAACTTACAAAGCAGTTTTTAGAAAGACCCAGATTTTTCTCAAATTCTCTATTCTATCAGTGTGGCCCATGTCTCGGGAGAGTCTGTCTCTGTATTGATCCTCTCTGTAGATAACATACATGAGAGTTTTAAAGCAACAGTAAAACATAAATCAGGTTTTGCTTATCTTATAGTAATAGGAATGACTTGTCTTCCGATACAAACAGTTTCAAGAGTGTGCTGCATTTTTTAAGAAATATTAGTTAATGGAATAGCAGTCAAGTTAACCCTGATTTGAAAAATCTGTACAAATTAACAGCTTTCTGAAAAACCTGTCAGTTTACAGCAATGTATGATCATTACCCTAATTTATACTGTAATTTTCATAAGAAAAATAATTTAGAGACTAATATAATAATAAATAAACTATAAAGTTCTGAGAAACGCACTGCCTGAAAAACTACCTTGTTACAAAACAGAATTTATACAAACACAGTACTCGAGGAGAACGCCATTAAGAACCATGCAATTTTAAGGCAGTTAGTAAATCAGGAAGACGACCACAGTTACGTGCTTGTGCATATGCATGGATAGATATACAATAAATGTACATAAAAGTTGTGGCTCAAAACACAATGTAAAACATTTATATAGTAGAATTCCAATTACGACTGCTTTTTACAGCACTTAAAGACAGTTTATCCTAAACTCAAACATACCAATAATCTAAACATAAATTCCTAAAAGATTTTAGAATCCCTCATATACTCAAGATCAATTAATCAACAGGAAAATATAAAAGTGAACTTTTTTTCATATGGAACGCCTTGTAAGCACAAAGCAACATGATGCTAACCCCATTTTATTGAAGTGAGACTATCTTTTTTAACGTTGAATGGGAGGCTGAGTTTTACTGTACTATCCTATTAAGATAGTTACAGCCTCATCAAAAATATATAAATATTATCAGAAGCACTGTTTATATAACTTTATTATGGCACCCAAACCAAACTTGCAGTTACTCATAAATTTGTACCTTCTCATTACAAAGTGTCTTTCTGTTGCTGAACAACTTCTATGTGACATAGAGTCCACCCGCATGGCTAAGAATGGCATGCAATGTTATTATGAACCATGCAACATGAAAATGACGGCAGAGTAAGTACTTACGGGTACATGGCCATTGTTGTCAATTTAACAAAGATATCTTTACTGGGTGCATCAGCAGTATTGCAAGTAAAGGCTTGTGGTGGAGGCATTTTGTGTTTCCTGCAGAAATCAGCAGGTGAAATACTATATTCTTGTTTAACTTCATGCAGGTCTGACTTTGCAGCTATGATTAAGCAAGGTATTCTGCTGTCCATAAAGTGTTGCTATGGAATAAAAAATGAAACAACAATCTGATAAGTTCAAAAATGACTAAATTTAATTAAATGTGCACTAAACATTTTCTCTAGATAGGCAAAGCATCAACAACTTCAAAGAGAAAGTGAACTAAGAGGCAAAGACTGGAAGAGGTCCAGGTCAGTCTCCTAAGACCAGGACCACTTTTCTAATGCTGGTAACAATACAAACCTATGACAATTCTTCAGATTACTAGAATTTGAAAAAAAATGTGTTTTTATAACAAAGACAATATTTTGAAATAAAAAGAAATCCACTTAAACTTCTCTATCCTAAAGCACACTATTTTCATACTACCTCCAGTCTTCAAGTACATGCATTTATATATATATATATATATATATATATATATATATATATATATATACTTATATAGTTGTAGCCATGCTCGACACTACCATTTAAAAATATAATACTGACTCTTTCATGTTTTCAGAATTCCAATCATTACTGTTAGGGGGTACAGCTCAGTGGTAGAGCATTTGACTGCAAAATCATTACTTTTAATTGCTGGCTAATATTCCACTGGATTATTTTATCTTAATTTGGTAAATCATCCTCCTATTCTTACACATTTGGATTATTTCCAGTTTTTTGCTATTAAAAATAATGCTAGATGGGCTGGCCCAGCGGTGTAGCAGTTAAGTCTGCACACTCTACTTTGTCAGCCTGGGGTTTGCCAGTTCAGATCCCGGGCACAGACCTACGCACCGCTTATCAAGCCATGCTGTGGCAAGCATCCCACATGAAAAATAAAGGAAGATAGGCAGAGATGTTAGCTCAGGGCTAATCCTCCTCAAAAAACAAACAAAAAATGCTAGAATAAATTGCTTTGTACATATAATTTTTTTACTCCTATTGAATCTTGTTGATAATCTCAAAGTGACTGATAAATTTTCAAGCCTCTAGTTTCTTCCCTTGCTCTGGCTATTATTATCCTTGGTGTAACTGGCAATGTATAATCCATGAACATTCGTAACAGCCAAGAAGACCTTCCATTAATGCAGAGGTTCTTAACCAGGAATGTACATGAGAGTCACATGTGGAAAAAAATGCTTTTAAAAATACAGACGCCTGGGACTCTACCCTCCCAGAATGAAACTAGAACCTTCAGGGACAGGACACAGATGCACCTACTTTTAAAAAGTTCCACAAGTGATTGTCTTGCATTTCCCTGGTTAGAAAACACCACATTACAATTCCATTAAACTCCATATAAAGTTAAACTTAGTTATAGACCAAAAGAGCAACAAACCTTAAAAATCCTGGCACAGTATTCAAAGGATTTGGGGTTACTGACGTCATATACCAGGCACACAACATCACAAATGATCTCAGCCTCAGTTAAAAATTCCGATTCTGAGATATCATGCAACTTGTGCAAAGAAAAAGATAATGAGAAACATAAGTATCATAACATTGATGTATAATTAAAGTCATGATGTTTTATCATTGCTTAACTTGACTTCCTAATAAAAAATACTAGTTAAGTATAACTTTTCAGACCATTTTGAAAAGTGAGAAGTATAGATAAACAAGTAGCTTCTGATTTTTTGGATTAAAAATGGTGATTAAGGGCCAGCCCCGGTGGGCTAGTGGTTAAGTTCAGCACGTTCCACTTCAGCAGCCTGGGTTCGGTTCCCAGCTGTGCACCTACATCACTCTGTTAGCTGGCAGCTCACACAGTAAAAAACAGTGGAAAACTGACACGGATGTTAGCTCAGGGAGAATGTTCCTGAGCAAAAAAGAAAGGTGATTAAGGTTCTACAGAAGCTAACATTTAGTGAGTGACTGAAGTGCTGGGCAGGCCCCTTACATGCATTCTCTACAATCTAAAGGTGAGATGGTAGGCTAAAGAGATTAAGTCAACTGCCTAAGATAACACATCTAATAGGTCATCAGACGAAAACCGGAACTCAGATATGATTCCAAGTCTATTTTCTTTCTACCACACCATCTCTTCTCCCATCAATCAGAAACACAAAGCAAAGGATTCTTTATACGAAGGTCATTCTGTTTTACTTCACTGCCTACTCTTTTTCAATGTTTATTATAAAACCTCTAATGAAATATCCCATCTATGATATGCTAATGATCCAACAAGAGTAAAATTCAGTACTGAGTTATATAACACAGTGCATCCTTGTTGAAGAGAACAAAGGGGAAGTGTAGAGTCAGAAGTGACTCAATATATTCCAAAAAGAACACTATTACAGCATGGATATTCAGAGACATGAAAGACATCAATTTATAAAGAATGTATACAGAGTAAGGATAAAAAGAGGAAAACTAACAGTCAGCAGTATTTACTCAGTATTCAATAAGTAGAATTATACTTATAGGAGAAGACTGGGAGATAAACAAGGTTTAATTAGAAACTAACAAAGAACTTTAATCATAAAGAGTGAACTAAGTATAAAATTCAACGTGATCATCTGTCCGGCAGAATAAACTATTTCCAAAAAGAAAGCGAATAAACTTCTCCTAGTAGCTATTATTTGTTAGGAGTTTCTCATATTAGCTAACCTAATAAGAAATAGACTCAGAGAGACTAAGCTACTTGCCTGAGGTCACACAGCTCATCAACGGTGGACCACGTTCAAACTAAAATCTGACTGAATCCAAGAAGAATACATGATCTCTTTCTATTGTATTTCATAGTATCTTTTCAGGCATACCCTTCTTTCATTCATTTTTTACGCTAACATTTCTTAACTATACTCCTCCCTGCTAAATAGATAAAACTCGATTCAGATTATAGATAAATTACCAAGCACCGGCACTAAGGTTTCATATTAATTTCTAGTCAACAGTAAAGGACATCATTTATTTAAATAAAAGTAGAAGAAAGAGTAAAGAGGAGTTAATTTTTTTCTTTCTTATTGTGGTATAACATAATTAAGCACACAAATAGGAATTTTTACACATATCTATAGCTGTGTAATCACCACACAAATCAAGGGAATTAAATTAATTCCAATGAATAAACCACTGAAAAAAAAATCACACAAAAGTTACGCATACAGCCATTAAACTAAACCCAACTGTGTTTTCAAAGAGTCACTTGAAAGTGTACCTAATAATTAATAACTTTTATATGCCAGAGATTTTCTTACCAACAAGTATTTCTCTTGTCCATATACATAAACAGTGTTAATCGCATAGTAGGACTTATGATCATCACGAATTTTCTTCTGCCTCTGAAAACAACCAGAAATCTCAATATTTACAGTAAGAAATTACAGTAACTAGTTTTCATCAACACACATACTCTGCATGTATTTGTGGGTGTGTTATAAATAAAGGGGCATTCATCTCTACACTATGTATTATTTATCAGTACAAAGGGGATATTGATTTTATGTTTCTAAGTTCTTAAAGTCTAAGACAAAAGACGCATTTGTTCTGCACAAAGTGGAAGCTGCAGCTGAAGAGGACTATATCCTTGAAAGCACGTACTCCAGAGCCACCTGCTGGCAGTTCTCATTATACTATAATTTGGTCTGATATGAGACTCATCTGGAAATATGTCAATCTCCCTACTCAAGGCAGCACTCAGAATTAGTATTCAATTTGAAATATTTACTGTACATTTACTTCACGCCAAGAAATGAGATAGATGCTTTCACGTATGTATTCATTTAATCCCCATCTGAACGCTGGTTAAAAAAGAAAGACAAATGATAGCTAACATCAGTGAGGCAAAGATAAAGCCAGTTCAACGGGATTATTGTTACACTTGAGATTGTACTTTACTAATATACAGAGGTCACTGAGTTCTAGTAAGCATCTAAAAAGGTGAACGAGTATGAGAAAACTATGCAAACTCATGACTATAAAAACTTGTTGGATAAGGTTTATTTTCTGAGAACTCTCACCGATAAGTTTCTTCCAAGAAGAGCCTGAAGAACTCCACTTTTCCCACAGTTTTTCACCCCAATTACATTACATCTGAAGACATTTCTTTGAGTCTGTTTTTTCTGAAGGTCTATCTTTTTATCTCTTGTTACTAAAAAGAAAAAGAAAACTAATTGTGTACCACTTAAACTCACTGAGCCTCCATTTCACCTTCTGCAAAGTAGGGTAGTGCTGCTTATCACATTTATTAAGTGTTTCATTGACAAACAAACAAACTGTGTAACAGTCAAGCTGTACGTGAAATAAAGTACTAAATATAATACAGAAGGGCCTCACTTAGTGGAAAAGATGCATTTCGGAAAGTTGGCTCTAAAGTGAATTTCTAGTAATCAAATAATACTTATTTCATCATAAAATAAGTAGTACATTTTCCTAAGAAAAATGATGTCCTAAAAATGAATGAAAATTACAATAAATGTAGGCGACACTATAGCCCATCTATTTTGTTCCGTGATAAATCACTGTCATAACAAATTACAAACTAAAAGAAGCTATCTCAAATCTGTACTCTTGGATCAGTAAATAGGAAAGGGATAGGCACTCTGGGGTTAACCAGCCTTCCAAAGGTAACTCTGTAAAAGAGGCAGGCCAGAAAACAGTGCTGTGTCAGCAGAGCAAGGGGGCATCTCGTCCTGAAGTGAACAGCCTCCTTAAGCTGCTCCCAAAGATTCAACTACAACAAAGCTCACCAGAGGCACTATTTATGGTAGCAAAAATCTGAAAGTGATAAAACACACACAATAATCATGGCATAGTTAAATTACAGAACATCCATATGATGACACATTATTTAACATTAAAGATGTATAAAAGTACACATATTGATATAGAAAGATGTCCACGATATATCTTGTTGAGTGAAAGAACCTCACGCTGGCTAGCAATTAGTTCCTTACTCTTTGGTGCTGAATTAAATGCTGTCTGAGTTGTTAAGTAGTTTAAAAGGTACTTGCTCTGTCAATTTAAGACTGGTTGTCTTCCTGCGCTGGGGCTTCCTATAAGACATGGCATTTTTTCCCACCAATTAGGATTTAAGAAACTCTTGAAACGATCAGTTCCCTAATTTGTTAATTCCATACCTATGGGTTTTCTTTAAGCGGAGCACATTGCTTGGCAAGAATTACAAGATCTGTGAAAAATTTATTAACGTGGAAAACGGTTACGAAGTCGAGAGACATACAATTAATTCAATATGAGGATCATGTTCTCATCAACATTGTTCTCAATGTTTGAAGAAAATTAAAACACAAGATAGGCTGGTAAATAAATACTTTTAATGCCCATAGCCCTCCGTGATTTTCATCAGTTGAGTACCCACAGTAAACTAGAAGTAAGACCTCTACACTTCCTTTATTGATAAACAATAAAATGAAGCATCTCAATTCAAAAGAAATTGCCAAATCATGGGGAAAACTAATAGAGTGTAGACATGGAAGAATAATGAATATGAATTTATTTTCACATATGAAACTGGAATCTTAAAATATTTTTCTAGTCATGAACTGAAGAGTATTCAAATACTTACCTGTAATGGCTGAAGCCTGAGACTCTTGTTCAGTCAATATTGAATAGCCCAAATAGCCCAAATACTCTAGGCACCGCTGTACATCTAAATAGGTCGTGAGCCTAGGAAAGAGTAGAGTTTAAAATGTGGAAAGTTCCTAAATGAGCATTTATAGAAAAAAAATTCCAACAGCTCAAATAATTTCACCACCAGATCCAGGTAATTTTTGTCAGACTGCTTTAATTTCCCATGCGCCCAACCATGATTTTTCCTACACTGCCATTCTTAAGACAGAGAAGAAAGGGAGAAGGCAAGATGCGGGGGGATTCCTATAACTCCTCCACCTGCCCAGAAAGAGCAAGGCCACAAGATGAGCAACAAACTGCTGATAAAATCTAGAGCCGGAATATTTTCTATTCTCTGCTCCCCAGTCACAGAGTGTACTGCAAACATAGGCTAGCTGAGGACTTAATGATAATTAAGTCTGAAGAACTTTGTGAAAGGTGCAAAAATAACTCAAAGGCACTTGAAATTAGTCAGCCTTTCTTACGATTTGAAAAACTAAATCCTGGTGTTGAGAAAGTTAATCTCACTAAGGTTAAAGTAATTATGTCATCAGGTGTGACCAGAGGATTTCCTCAGCACCCAAATACAACATCAACTGTGCTGCAACTAGATTTAGACAAACCCTCCCTGAGTCTGACTAAGACTGCATTAAAAACAAACAAGCCTCAAAATAAGTCTTCAGTGTCAAGCAAAATATGCTTTCCCCATATTCTGAAGGTCTAAGAACTGTGCAACAGCAATGACGTTTCTACTTCCCTTAATCAAAAATATTAAAATTTAGCTCAGTTTTGATGTAAGACTTATTACTTAAGTGTTTGATGCAAGACTTATTCTTCTTTGGATGATGTCCCTGTACATCCTCCAAAAGCAAACACATCTCTTCCTGATAGATTTAGAGAACATCTCAAGTTCATCTTAGAGATAGCAGCAGTATTGTAAATCCTGCTTACAGGCAGTTACGACTGAAGCATTTTGTAAGATCTGGCAAACTTACAAAATGAGGAATGTGATGCACCATAATTTTAAACCAGCTGTGACTCTAGAGGAAACAGGCAAGCTCTATACTCACGTCCACTGGGAAAGGAAGCCCTGGTAGGTTATCCAGCCTCTTTCATTTGTACAAACTGTGTTATTCACATCTGGCCCCCAAGGTATGTAAGGGAAAACTTTAAACAAATCTTTAAGCTCATCAGGTGACAAAGCACAGTCTCTATCCTGAAAATACACAAGGAAATATACAAAGTGTCTAGATTATCTAAGAGAATAATCCCAAACACAAGAGCCCACCAAGTTTAGTAAAGCCATGCTTGTAAAAACTAATGACTGAAAAGAAATTTTACACTTTGATAAAAATTCCTTACCTGTCTATAAAAAAATGTACACAAGAGTCTATCAGAAACTAGACTTTTCCTTCTTGAGAAAGCAATAAAAGTAAATAAATAAAAGAAAGTATGTTTGCTAATTTAATTAAGAGAGTTTGGGTAATTTGGGCTATGTCTCATAAGCACCCCATAGCAAAGGGAACAGAGTTAAATCATTCACAGAAAAATATTTTATCATATATCGTGGAAAACTGCAGCTAAAAGCTTACCAAATCATGCTTGTCAAAGGTGCTTTGGAGAAACAAATATGCATGATGATTTAATTCAGTAGTGCAATCAGGAGGTATTTTTAGCCTGTTGATAAAAAAATTTAAGAGTAAAATAAAGCATTAATCAAATATTAAAATTTAATTTAAGAAATGAATACAAAATTGCAACAAGTCTTTTTGTGGGATGACATCCTTTACAAAATATCTTTGCTGGAGCCATTTAGACTTTCCCAGGGAAAGTCACTGGAGTGGTACGGCGATCCTCAGAAGAGGCATCATAATGGTCATTTCGAGCTGACATATAAAGTTTTTTTAAATATCTGAAGGGCAGGTTGAAAAAAAATTTACAAATAATACTGATTAAACTTTAATGGGTTTGTTCTTCCTATAAACAAGTTCTAAGTCATAATTATGAGCTTTGTACAATGTCAACACTGCAATGAGTTGAAAACAATGTGAAGAGATGTTATTTCTGCCTAAGTTGACCTTTTTGACTCACCCTAAATTCAGTTCAATGAACATTTATCAAATGCATGAGCTAGGTATTAGGGACACAAAAACAAGACAGGCTCCCTATCTCTAAGGAACCACACACAAGTGGGAGACGAACCACACACAGATAACCTCACTATCGCAACAGAATGAGGTGAGTGTTGAGTACGCGTAAGCTAAGGATGCTGGGGGGCTTTCCATGAAAGGGAACATCCCTGGCCTGGGGATGGAACCGTGTGAGTGCTGCTGAGAGAGACTGTCACCTGAATTGAGACTAGAAGAATAAAAGGCATTAATTAGGTTGGGGGCAGAGGGAAGGAGAGAGTGAAAATACCATGGGCAAAAGCCTAGAGTGAGAAACAACATATGACTGGTGGACTATAAATAGTTTAGTATTTACTAGAATGAAGGCAAGGAGCGAGCATGAGGAGAGCAGATCATGAATGACCTCACAGACCACGTAAGAAGCTTGCACCCGGAGCCAGCCCCAGTGGTCTAGTGGTTAAGTTTGGCGTGCTCCACTTCAGAGCCCAGGCTCGATTCCTGGGTGTGGACCTACAACCACTCATCTGTGGCTGCGGCCCACATACCAAAAGAGTAAGATTGGCAGCAGATGTTAGCTCAGGGCGAAGCCTCCTAACCCAAAACAAAAAGAAACTTGGGCTTTATCTTGCCTTGAAGGGAAGTAACATGGCCAAATCTGCATTTATATATCTATTAATCCAGCAGCAGTGTGAAGGACAGAGGCAGAGTTTAATAAGAAGGCTAGAGAGATTCAAGTGGTGGCTCTAAAGGGCTATTTTGCAGAAAATTAAAGGCAGAGAGCATAAAGAAATTGAAAGAGATGTTAGTGAAGTTACAAAGCTGTAAGAGATGGAGGTTCCTCACTGTCATACTTAAGCAAGTCATAAGCAACCTCCTGTACAATTTATCTACTCATATAAATGGCACAGAAAAGAAAACTCGACGAAAAGGTCCCAGGACAAATTCATTCATTCAATATATATTTATCGAAAAATCTGGGAAATTACTTGAGCCAGGATTTAATAACTTTGACAAGAGAAGTTTTAACTTAGAACTGATTAATGGACCAGGAATCCAACCAGAAAGAACTCTCCTTCCTCAATGATGGGGAAGGAAAAAAACAAGTCTTTTTGATCCTTTACATAGATATGAGGGGTGCTTTGCTAAAATAAAAAGGGACAACATGAAAATAATGTGCTACTGAAAAAGTGAAGAAAGGCTGAAGACTCAAAGGCCAGATCTCGGGAAGTCACGTCCCTGAAAAGCCCACTTTCCTGGGGTAGAGGAGAGGCATCCTACAGCAAGGCGGCCTTCTATTTTAGGGCGACACTGGGTCCATTTTTAAACAAAGAGAACTTAAACACAGAATTATCTAAAGGAAAATAACCATAAAGAGACTGGTTGTTGCGGAAAAATACTTATTTCATCCTGAGCTAAGAACAGTCTTTAAAAGTTAGGGAGGAAAAGGACTAATGAAAGGAAAAGAAAAACGCTAACCAATATATTTCTGATCTCTTGACTCTAAAAGCCCGTTTGTCTAGCATCTTTTATCTCCCTCCTCAATAAAGTGAATTTAAGAAGATACTTGTATTTGCCACGAGAAGAACAAGAAAAGTTTGAGCCATCCTATAAATCAGTGGCTCTCAGCTGGGAATGATTTCACTCCTGAGGGAACATTTGGCAATTTCTAGAGACAATTAGACATTTTCGGCTGACATAACTGGGGGAGGAGGTGTTACTGGCATCTAAGGATGTGCTAAATATCCTATAATGCGTGGGACAGACTCTACAACAAAGAATTATCCAGTCCAAATTGTCAATAGTGCCAAGGTTGAGAAACCCTGCTAGAAACCTCTCTATAAATCTAATTTATTCCTGAGTAGCTCAAAGCCTACCCAACTATGTGCTAAACAAAACTTAAAAATACTTGGCAAGTGAAATCAATTAGAAAGCCAAAGGTACATACAAGGGGAATAAATATTCAGGTGTCAAGTCCAGATCATCATCATAACCAAATCGCCGAAGCACAGTCCAAGTAGTTTCGTGTCTCCCTCTCTGGATAAAAAGCGTGTGTAAAAAAAGAAAACCTGAAATAAAACAAATTAGTAAATACAGTTGATGTGGAAAAGGGTACAGAGTCACATGGGAGATAAGCACGTAAGCTAATGGCAAGAGCTAGGTTCACGGACACAGGCACACTAGCTCTGCATACTGAAGATCAAATCAAAACAAAGTTCACAAGTGTCTCAATGAAACAGAGCTGCTTTCAGAACCATTTCACATATACACCCAGGGCAGCAAGAGACAGCACTACATGAAAGGGCCAAAAACACATCTCAAGGAATCAACACACCAACAGTCACAAAGTTATACAATACCAAGTAAAACCACTTTATAGATCTCTGTGCAGAATGGAAAATTCTGGTGTTCAATTCCATCTCTTATTTCACCGTGGCTCTATAATGTATTCTACAGGGAACATTCTGTACTTGGTAAATTTGACTGGTAGACAAAATGTCTTCCCTAAAAATAATTTCTATTTAAAGAAGGCTTATGAAAATGAAGAATTTTAAGATAAATTTGTTCGCTCCAGAAATCTTTCCCTCAGATGGACCTCTGCATTCCTGAGATCCAACCAATTTCCTTATCTGGAATTTATGCTGGCAGTCAGGACAATCATCCCCACCGATGGCCTCTCTCTTCCAACTCTTAAATATCCAAGTTGGATTTATACTACCATTCCCTTAAAGTATAAATAATGCTCTAGAGACCTTCACCTTCTGTCAAATTTTGAAAATATTAAGTTCAAAGGGGGAAAAACACCCTTCACCTACCTTTCAGTGTCAATCCACTATCAGCCACACCATCACTTATGTGTTTTCTGACTACATTCTTGACATCTTCCAGAGCTTGAGGAGCTAATGGAGTGTTGAAACAAATTCTCTAGCAAAAACCATAAAAATAAATTTAAAAGCAAATCAGCATTAAAGCCACAAATAATATAAAACATTAATCTACAAAACAACATTAAACGAAAGAGTTGCAACCAAAAGAAACAAATTCTAAATTAGGATAGTGCCTGCTGTGTCTTACTTGAGTAAAACATGGCACACAGAGAAGGAAAGAAACTTTTCCTATCCACTCCTTGGAGTTTCTAAAACAAAGAGCTCTTTGTGTAGCTAGGTTACACAAAAGCAAGAAAGAAAAATAATTCAGAGTTCAGACTTCAAGTCATCCTTAATACACCCACCGTGCACCATGAAATGACACTCAGAGTCCCCTCAATTCCTATGGGTAAGAGAGTTTCATACACTAGGTAAAAACTTAAATAGCTTGATGTGAAAGATAGTTTTACACAAAAGAGACACGTTTATCAATGTCATTGTTTAAGCTAATAAATTTTTTATAGCTTTTCTCAGCCAAAAAAAAAAAAAAACCAAGATTTGCAAACATCTGAAAATGAAGAGGGCTACCTGAAAGAAGTTGAGTTCAGCATCATTGAGAGTACCATCATTATCTTGATCAGATATTTTAAATATACGAGTAAGGGCTTTTATACAGGCTGGTTTCATCTATAAATCATTAAGAAAAGAAACAACTGTTTTAATTAAAATTGTTGGGATTTTTTAAATATGATTTTCCTAAGTAACGCTAAAGATAGTTCTGATCATTTTTACCGTCAAATACGTAACATCCAATACAACCCACATGAAAAGTGAACTAAGGCAAAGACATTTACTTTTATACTCAACTCTTTTTAAGTAAATGAGGCAATATTTACTTGGACCAATATTTGGAATGGTCATACTCCCCTCATGACCATGAATCCTCCAAGAATGGGCAAAAGAGAAGTTCATCTTTAGAGAAGATTCGTTCATCCAGTCATATAAAGAAGAAATATTTATTTATTTAAGCCTTCCTTCATTCCATAAAGAATTGGAGCTGACTTATAAAACGACTAAGGACTTTGCTTCCCAACTTCTGATTTTTTTAAAACATTTCAGCTCTCTTGAGGTATAATCAACTGCTGATTTTTGATCATCAATCTTCTGGTACCAGAATGGGACTAAATGTTTTGATCTGTCACTTGTGTATGTGTGTATGTCAAAGTTGGGATATGAAATGTGCTTATTCACAAAAAGGTGGCAAAATGGCACTGGTTGGCAAGTGTAAACGCTTTTTACTAATTTCCTATTATGAGATAAGAACTACTTACATTTAAAAAAGAACCTTGCCTTTTGTGACTCTAAAATTTTCCTAAGTAATGCTGCTGGAAATATATTTTGACAACTTCCTTAATTTTTATTTCAGGATTTATAACGGATAGAACAAATATTTGACTATTTAAAAATAAGGCCCACAGGCTTCTAACTTGCATAATTGCTATAGGATAATCACTGTCAAGAATTTTGAGAAAATAAAACTTTCAGGAAGATCTTTGAACATTGTGTACACTTGGAGGTAGATCTCTTATGGACACAACTGAAGCAGAGAAATGAGACAGCAAAGGGAGGAAATGCGCACTTATTAACTTCTTAACTTCAGTCACATGGCTATCCAGAGCAAACAGCAGTGATGAGTTTTGATCATACAGAAAAGCAATTCTTTAAAAAATTGAAAAGGAAACTGTTATTTTCCCAAAATACACACAGATAATCCCTTCTTTTTTTGTTTTAAAGGGGTCTCTACGAGACTAATTTGATCTAGTGAGAAAAAGATAAAACCTAAGATATGAAGAGATTAGAAAGAACTGAAAAAAATAAGTCAAACATTTAGAGAGCACTGGCTAGGGCTTCCTTTACATAAAATGGTACTAAATGGTCTATAACCTATAACATCTACAATCATGGGTGATTTTTTTAAAAATAAAGAACAGTAAGATACTGTTTCTATAAATGTGATCCTAATATTAGATAGTCAAGATTAATAAATAAAAATTATATTGTTATATTTTATTTACTTTCCTTTTAAAATCTGTTATATAAGTTAAATGTTTCAAAAAGTAGTAACATCTAGGATGGAAAAACAGAATCAAAAAGTAACTTTTTATTTTGTGCAAGTGGTTTTTGCTCACATCATAAAAAGCTGCACAAGGGCCAGCGTCAGTGGCCTAGTGGTTAAGTTCAGCACGCTCCACTTTGGCAGTTTGGGTTTGGTTCTGGAACCAAACCCAGACCTACACTGCTCTGTTAGTGGCCACGCTGTGCTGGTGGTCCATACACTAAAAAACAGGAAGACTGGCACAGATGTTAGCTCAGGCAAACATCTTCCTCAGCAGGGAAAAAAAAAAAAAAGCTACATTAAAAAATAATTTGAAGAAAAATAAACAATGATGCATTTTTCATTAAAGCTTAAAATGCATCAGAAGCTAAGTGTTCTAAGGTACTGGCTCAATGTGATGTTTAAATATTATGCACCTTAAAATATAACGTCAAAAAATGACTACTTTTAAAAAATTTTTTAAATTATACCTCAATAAATTATACTCAAAATTTTTTACAGTAATAATATAAACTCATTTGCATATGAGTAACCTAAACTCTCAGAGAGTAACCATTATTATTACACAAAAGTTACACCTTTTTCATTCTTAGGTCAGCAGAGGACTTCATGGGTCATACAGTGTCCATCATCACTGAAAACGTATTTACAGTTCAAGCCTCAATTTTTAATATGATCTTTTTCATGATTCCACCTCAAATCTGTGTTAAAAGCTTATTATTGTTGTCTAACTAAAAGAGTCTGTTATTAGCTTAGACTCAAAGCTTGTACTTGTGGTAAAACAAGGTATAATCTCTAAAGTTTCAGATTCTACCTCAGGCAGGTACACCTAAGAAACAAGTAACAGATGGTGGCAGATGTTTTACCCTTATGGGATTGGGGGAGGGGCAGGCATGATAAGCAGATTAGCAGAACTAATAATAGGCCTAAAAAAAGCGGCAACTAAAGAACTGGGAACAAAGTAATAGAGGGGATTTAACGTACCGCTAGGCTAAGGCCTCAGAGGAAAATCTCTACAGTAGCAGACCATTTCCCAAATTTGCTTGATTATAAAATACAGCACCTGGTTAAATCAGAATGCAATCTGTGTTTTAACAAGTATGAACAGCGACTATTGTGAGGCAAATTTGGGAAATACTAGATTACGTTAGAAAGGAGCATTCCAATTAAGGAACAGTAAACCAGGATGAAGGAAGGGTCAGATTAAGGGATAGTTCAGATTAATCACTTACAGCAGGGGTCAGCACTTTTTCTGTAAAGGGTCACACAGCACATGTTTTAGGCTTTTAGAGCCAACAGGTAAAATCAAGAAGATCATGTAGGTACTTACATAGCAAGAGAGAATAAAATTTCCACCAAGCTTTTATTGATCAAATTCAAAATATAATAATAACTGAAGCATAAATTTGCTACACATGTTTACTAATGAGAAGAATGGAATTCTTCTTGGAGAGAGAACATTCTGCTAAATTGGGGTTCAAAATTAGTGTTCTTTATCACAAATATCGATTGCAAATGTTCTCCTGCCAATGCTGATCTGTAATGAGATTTTACATATTTCACCTCTGAAACCGTCTTCCTGCACAGACACATACTGCCAATCCTGACACACATCCATAAACATATAATTTTAACCGAGCACATTCATTGCTCAGAAGGTATTTACAGAATTATACGAGATTCTTTTCTTGAGTTTTGCCAGTTAGCATGTCATTACACTGCAGATTAATCAGTTCCAATTGAAGGTTAGGTGGAAGCTCCTCAACTGCATCGTCAAATGGATTATAAAATATGGAAACTTCCTTTGCACTTGCATCAAGGTCCAAAAAAAAAAATGATGGTGGAACTGTAGTTTGAGCAGAAAATATACCTCCTTCGCCAAGCAAAAATCAACTTTTTTCTTTTCTTGTTGTGGCATGACAGGTACAGCACTGATAATAAAAAATAAAATGTCACAGTACAGTGATACACATGGTACTCGAAACGCTGTCCAGTTACAACTCTGTCAGTGCACCGGCTGCACTCAGTACTTCAGCTGTGCACTTCAGCACTGAGAAGTGACGACAGCACCACACACAAGCTCGGCTGCAACTACTCATCTCTGTCTTTGTAGTGTGAAAGCAGCCAAAGACAAAGAAAGACATGAGCGCGGCTGTGTTGCAATAAAACTTTACTTACGAATGATGAAATCAGAATGTCATATAATTTTCCCACATCACAAAATATTATTCCTTTTGATTTTTTCAACCATTTAAAAATATGAAATGTATTCTTAGCTCACAGGTTATACAAAAACAGGTGACAAGCCAAATTTGGCCCATGGGTCAAAGTCTGCCAACTACTCACCTATACTATAAACTTTTCCTGAAAAAGAATCTGCAATTTTTTATTCTTAAAAACTCAATAATAAAAAGACAAACAACTCAAGAAATGGGCAAAAGACTTAAATAGACATTTCTCCAAAGAAAATATACAAATGGCCAATAAGCACATGAAAAGATATTAAACATCATTAGCCATCAGCGAAATGCAAATCAAAACAACAAGCTACCACTCACAACCACTAGGATGGCTATAACAAACCAAAAAAGAAAAAAATGGAAAATAAGTATTGGTAAAGACGTAGAGAAATTGGAACCCTCATACAGTTTGGTGGTTCCTCAATGAGTTAAACATACAATTACCATGTGACCTAGAGATTCCACTTCTAAATACACACTCAAAAGAATTGAAAACAGGTGTTCAAACCTGTGTCCGAATGTTCACAGCAGCTCTATTCCCAGTAGCCAAAAAGTGGAAACAACTCAAACGTCTATCAACAGATGAATGGGTAACAAAATGTGGTACATCCATACAATGAAGTATTATTTGGCCATAAAAAGAGATGAAGTGCTGACACATGCTACGACACAGATGCACCTTGAGAACATTATGCTACGTGAAAGAAGCCAGACACAAAAGACCTTAAATGATTCCATTTATACTAAACATCCAGAATAGGCAAATCCATACAGCCAGAAAGTAGATCAGTGGTTTCCAAGGGCTGGGGGGGAGGGGAATGGGAGTGACTGCTTACGGGTACAGGGTTTCTTTTGGGGACATGAAATGTTCTGGAATTACACAGTGCTGACAGAGAACTGTGTGAATATACTAAAAATCACTGAATTGTACACTTTAAAAGGGTGAATTTTATGGTATGTAAGTTCTATCTCAATAAAAAAGTTAATTTTAAAAGTCTATGGCAAAATATTGTTAAATTTTAGATATTTAATTAAGGAATTACTATGTCTCTTAGCTATGAACCAAAAGAGAGTATTCAAGTTGTATTACATGTTGTACCCATGTCAAACAACTATACAGGTTTTTCGTTTGTGTGTGTACGTTGTGGTATTTTCCCCCCTCAAAGTCCCAGTGCATGGCTGTATATCCCAGCTGTTAAGTCCTTCCAGAGCCGCCACCACAGCATGGCTACTGACAGATGAGTGGTGTGGTTCCCTGACAGGGAAGCAAAGCCAGGCCACCGAAGTGGTGAGAGCACTGAACTTTAACCACTAGGCCATCAGGGCTGGCTGTGTGTGTGCTGTTAAGTTTGTGGTTTTTATAGGAGCAAAACAAACAGACCATTAGCTAAGTCTTTGGATTTTTTGTTGTTATTGTTGCCAATTCTTCTGTTTTAATAGCACTTCCTGAAATAGTATTTGATCTGGAATACTACTCTGAGCATTTAATGTGAATGTCTTTGAAGAAAAGTATCTAGAAAACATGACAGTTTAAAAAGCAATAAATTTAAATTTCAGCAGTTTACAAGAATACTTAAGAGTTACTAAAAATCACTATCATACGAGAGTTACTACTTACACATTTCAGGCCCTACTAACACAGACCCGGGGGGCAAGAGGGAAGCAGGTTACCTCTTTCTCCTCTGGACAGTACAGAGGCCCTGTAGGATGAAGAACAGCTTTCTGTGCATAATAAAAGAGCTCTGATATGTTCTTCAGGTTTTTTGCTGAACACTGGAAAAAAAGTTAAAACTTTTACACTCTGAAAGTAATTACGAGAGCTAAAAACAATTTCTTTTTTTTTTGAGGAAGATTAGCCCTGAGCTAACACCTGCTGCCAATCCTCCTCCTTTTGCTGAGGAAGACTGGCCCTGAGCTAACATCCGTGCCCATCTTCCTCTACTTTATATGTGGGATGTCTGCCACAGTGTGGCTTGACAAGTAGTGTGTAGGTCCACACCTGGGATTTGAACCGGTGAACCCCAGGCCGCTGAAGCGGAACATGCGAACTTCACCACTGTGCCACCGGGCTGGCCCCCTAAAAACAATTTTTAGACTATCAATATTAAGTAATAACAAGACTCCTTGAAGAAACTGAAAAATGCATTTTTCTTAGTGTATATCACAATATGACTGTCTACAAAGAGCTCAGAGGCCAACTCCAAGTTCTCTGTTTTATTTGGTTTACATGACTTCACAAACAGAATATTTATTCCATGCCTCACCTCCCCTCCTATTCTGAACCTCAATTTAGTGAGAATTCACCAACAGTAAATTTTTGAAATCAAATAATAAGACATACCTCCACACAGGTTTCTATTTCTGTGTACTGGTTCATAATAGGAAGAATGGTCTCCATACTACTATATTCCACCAGATCAGATTTGTTCCCAACCAATATCAAAGGCAGCCTAAAATAAACAAGGCATATTGTAATAATAAGAAAGGCAAAAGACATTAGATTTATATTTTAATTTACCTCAGAACCCATTCTAACTAATAAGCTTTACTTAATCTCCCCAACATGAACCCTCTACTGTAGTCAGCTCAAGGCCCCTAGACAGCATGTTCAGATTCAACAAGTATTTATTGAGTACCTACTATAACCAGGTGCTGTTCTAGGCATTAAGGACACATGACGGACAAGGTCCCCGCCCATTCTAATAGTGAAAATAAAAAAATGGACAATAAGTAAATAAACAAACAACCCTCTCCAATTCTGTAAGTGCTATGAAGGAAATAAACAGGGAGATACAGGATAGAAATGGGAAGGAGCTAATTTTATACGGTGATCAGGGAAAAATATCTTTGACAAGGTGGCATTGGAGCCAAGGAGTGAAGGATGAAATGGAATTTGCCATGTGGAGAGCCAGGGAAGAGCTGGCTGGGAAGAAGGGACACCATATGCAAAGGTTCCAAACTGAAAAGACATCCTGATGCGTCCAAAGAACAGAAAAATGCCAGAGTGGCTGGCAAGTACCGAACAAAGGGGAAGAGGCATGAAATGCGGCTGGAGACAGGAGCAAGGGCCAGACATGTGAGGACTTACAGCTCTGGTGAGGAGCGCAGCTTTTATTCTAAGAGTAAATGGAAAGCTACTGAAGGGTAAAAAGGCGGGGGGGGGGGGGGGGGCTGTGACATGATCTGACGGACATTTTTAAATGCAGTCATTTGTTATCTTTTAGAGATACATACTGAAATATTTACAGTATGATACGATGTCTCTATTTGTTCAAAATGATCCCAGTGGGAGGGGTAATAAATGAAACAAGACTGGCCACGAGTTGATCTTATTGAAGCTGGATGACAGATGCAGAGGGATTCATCATACTAGTCTCTCTACTTTTGCATACGTTTGACTCTTGTCAATAATAAAAAGTTTTTAAAAATGTGGTGGCTTGGATTAGGGCAGTGAAAATGGAGAAGAAATATTCACAAGTGAGATATATTTTAGAGGTAGAAGTGATACGGGTAGCTGCTACATTAAGATATGGACGTTGAGGGAAAGGCAGAAATCAAAAAAATACCCAGGTTTTTGGCTGGATAAAATGGGTATATCTCCTAAGACAGAAAAGATGGGGGGGCTGGTGAGGGTAGGCATGGAATTAAGGATTTTGTTTCAGACAAGTTAAATCTGACAGGCCTATTGGAACTCTAAATGCAGACATTAAGAAGAACCAGCCAAGTGAAGAACTGTTATCTGCACACCCTGCAAGAGAGGTTGGAGGGAAAGCAAATCACCCTGGTGGACTCCAGATTGCAACAAAAAAACTTGCAAGCATTTATTTACCCCGTCTAGTGTGGTCATTATGTGTAAAAGGACTGACCCACTATATAACACAAATATAGCTTCCTAACAGAGCCAGGAGGGTTTCCAAAGATGTAGTGGTTTGCAAACAAAGGTGTGCTCAGAATAATTTAAGGAGCTTAAAAAAATACGCATATCCAAGTCCTGCTCCAAACCTACTGATTTTAAAACTCTAGGGGTGGGGCAAAGGCATCTATATTTTTTTAAGACTACTTCAGGTGACAGTGACAGGCACCCGTGATGAAGAACAACTGTGACAATGGTCCAGGGAAGTTCAAGAAGAATATACATGTAACAAATATAAACTTAAGGTATGAGGCCCAAGGAAGAAGGTACTGGAAAGTGTAAGGGCCATACAACAAAGAAGAGACCACCTTGGGACATCTCAACCACAAGAAAAATAAGTATGCTCACATGATTCAGGGAGGAAAAAATCCAGCTACACCTGAGGAAGCTAAATTAGAGCTTCAAATGTTAAAAGCCACTTTCCGATGGTAGTAAAAGGGCCACAAAACTAGGGACAGCATTTTACGAAGCTGTCACAGTAAAATCAAAATTTTTTTTTTTTTTTTTTAATATTGGCACCTGAGTCAACATCTGTTGCCAATCTTCTGTTCCTTTTTTCCCTCCTTCTTCTTCTCCTCCCCAAATAGCTGCACACACTAGCTGTAGGCCCTTCTGGTTGTGCTATGTGGGACACCGCCTCAGCATGGCTGAAAGAGTGGTGCTAGGTCCGCGGCCAGGATCCCAACCAGCGAAACCCTGGGCCGCCGAAGCACAGTGTGTGAACCTAACGGGGCTGGCCCCTAAAGCCAAATTTTTAAAATTCAGTGGTCCAAGCTGCCTCTGGATGGATCCTGGCAAAACTGCCTTCTCTGAAGAGTCTCTCTTGGAAACTGCTCAAGTAATCAGCAAGAAGAGCAGGTGTCAGGAGTTCCAAGGTGGCCCTATCTAATACACTCTCTCTGATGATAGAAATGTTCTTTATCTGTACTGTCCATTACTGTAATCACCAGCCACAAGTAGCTTTTGAGCACTTGAAATGTGGCTAAGTGTATTCAAGGAACTGGATTTTTGGTTTTATTTAATTTCACTTAATTTGAAGTTAAACTGCACAAGTGACTAGAGGCTACTGTATTGGACAGTGTGGCTCTAGGGGTCACTCTCTCCTTTCCACCTTGTCGGTAAGTTGCCACAAAGTTTAAAACCATGATAAAGAGGAGCTATCAGAGCCACAAGGCACAGCATATACAATACCATCTCAGTCACAAAGTCTCCTTCCGTAAAGATGTGAGACAGGGTCAACGACCTCGTTCATCTGTTTAGAATCAGATCTTCAGAGTTTCAGGGCACAAAAATGCCCAACTAAAAGAGAAGTCTAAAAAATTAAGTAAAGGACCAGATATGTCTAAGACATAAAATTACTCTGATTTCCTAACATTTAAAAAGACTCAAATGCTTCATAAATATGTTCAATTAAACAATACTGCAAGAAAAATGTTTTGTTTCCATTTTAACTTAAAACCCAAAGTATTTATACCCAGAACTACCATTCTGCTCTGAAAATTACAGAATGTGTGTTCTCTTGCTTTCCCCCATCACACATATATCTTCCAAAGAATTTCAAAGAAATTTCCCTATATGAATTCCTAAACGAAGATCTCGAGGTTTTTTTAAAGAACTTATAAAGCACTTACATATGCATTATTTCATTAGACTCTCAAAATAATCACATGTAGCCAAGACAGGCATTATCTTCATCTTCACTTACAGATGAGGAAACTAAGGCTCAATGAAGTCAAAGTCTTAAAGCTCCTAAGTGGCCAAGCCAGATTTCAAAGGTCGTTCACTTCCTCCAAGTCCTGTGCTCTTATATACACCACACGGTGAGCAATCACTGACAAGAGGAGATGCCATTCCTCCTCGAAAGGGCATCTCAAGAGAGAGGGCACGTACAATACAGGTGAAGAGGAATTCTAAAGCTGAGACTTTTCAAGCAGCGGTTTGAGAAAGAGAAATGTAAGATTAATTATCAAAATATTTAATGTCTGAAATTGTGTATCATCAGAGTATCAGAGCTCTATTTTCTGCTTTGCTCTCAAATATATATGCTACCTCAAATAATTCCTCCCCAAAAAGGTGTGTGTGCATACGTAAACAGAGAGAAAGATCTATACAGTAAACACGGTAAAATGTTAACAACTGGTGGATCAAAGCGAAGGGTTTACAAATGTTCTTTGCATTATTTCTTGCAACTTTTCTGTAAGTTTGAAATTCTTAAATATACAAAGTTTCAGAGAAAAAAATACCTGCTGTCTTTGTCTGTTCTTTCATTTATGAGAGGAATCCATCGACTTGTTACCTAAAATGAAAATTAACAAGAGCTAAGCCACGATAAGGATCTTCTGTGAAAAATGCTGTGCCTTACGACACCAAAACTCTAAATTGAACATCAATTTTGAAAGTGCTCCCACTGAAATTTAACTAAATATAGTGAAAAAGTCACACATTCATACCTTATCAATAGAATGCTTGTTGTTAACAGCATAAACTATGCAGATGACATTAGCCTGCAAAAAAAAAAATTAATAGTGTTTTTAAATAATAAACAGGTAAACAGTAGCATTTAATTACCAACTAGTTAATATATTTGGGCCAAAGAAAAAACAAAATTTGAAAACTAAAAAAAAGAAAAAAAATACTTAGCATGCCTCTAGGAGGAAAAAGTTTCCAAAGACTTAACAACAAAAACACATACTCAAAGTCAGGAGTAACAACAAAGAATTGAAAAAGCCCTCATGGTGAGTGGGAGAATGAAAAACGGAGACTCATAGAATCGTGACTGATTTCTCACAAAAAAACCCTACAACTATTTCTTTTAACTCACCTGTGATATTTCTTGATGAAGTTGTTCATCACTCTGTTCTGCTTCTACAAATGACAAAGCCAAAGAAAGTTTCACATTTTAAAAACAGTCATAGAAACTAATGGCCAAGCTAAATAAAATCTCTGCGACATCCATCTAACATTCCTCTAAATATCCCTCATCCCTCATGTCATGGTGTAGTGCCAGATTAGGTGGCAAATACAAGGGCAAGCCAGGGGAAGGACAGAGTGGAACTATGATAAGGAAGCTGGCTGACACTAAAAGACAAGTCTACAAGAGGATAATTCAGGCACCAAAGAGCAGAAGGCATTGTGTGAAAAATCTAGGCTGGCGTCTGATCCAGAGTTGAGAAAGGTCAGGCAAAAGAGATCAGAAACCCAAGCTAGAAGACAGGGTACTGAAGAGTCAGAAGCCCAGACAAAGAGCTTATACACAAAGGGTCAAAAGGCCAAGTGAGAATCTGGGCAATACAAGTTCAAGATCTAGATAGCAGATATGAGTAATAGTAACCAGGCCCAGAAGCAAAACGGGAGCATGATAATGAAAAGTCAAGAATTCCCTCTCTAGCACGTATCTCTAGCTAGAACTGGTCTCAATGGGTGGATGTGCCTATAAGCCCAAGGTGCAGGGGATACGCCTGATATAGCTAGGATGAAGCAGCACACAAACGATAAGCAAAGCATTTACTGACATATTAATTTAGACCACCTTACATTAAATGTGTTTCCCCCAAAAAATGCCTTTTATGTCTGACAAACTAGTATCATAAATGAGTTCAATGGTACTTATATTATGCTAAATAATTGGTCATATTTTTAATATCTTTTCATATGCTGCATAATCAATGGGTTAACGTCTCACTTCTAATACTGAAGTGAATCCATTTATGTGGCTACACATACTGAAAAAAATAACTCTGTAAATAAAGCTAGTTATGAGACTGATTGTAGCAGAAAGCATCCAATCCCCTCAGCTTCTAGTACAGTGTTGTCCAGTAGAAAGATAACGCAAGCCATGTATGCAATCTTTAATTTTCTAGTAGTCACCTTAAGAACAGGAAAAAGGAACAGGTAAAATCACTTTTTTATTTAACCTAAAATATCAAAAATACTAAAATTCCAACATGTACTCAGAAAAATTATTAATGAGATATTTTACATTCTTTTTTTTCATACTAACTCTTCTAAATCCACCTGTATTTAACACTTATAGCACCTTTCAATTTAGACTGGTCACATTTCAAGTGTTTGATGGTCAAATGTACTGGACTACACAGTTCTAGTAACTTCTTTTTAGGACATACCCGATACCAGCCTGCAAAACAAAGAATTACCAATGTAGCTATACCCACTTTTTACAGGAGATTTTACTGTTTAGAGCAGTTTTAGGTTCACAGCAAAACTGAGTGGAAGGTACGGAGATTTACCATATATTTCCTACCCCCACACAGCTTCCCCCTCTATCAACATCACCCATCAGGGTGGTATATCTGTTACGACTGAACCTTTAAAAAAAAAAGTCATCCCAGAATAAAGCAAAACAATTTAATGATTAAAAAGTAAGTAGCAGTGTATAGAAAATTTTTTAATTACTAAAAGCAATACAGATATGTCTCTATTATCATGTAATATAAGCAAGCTGACAACGGTTTTAACTATTATTTTATTTGGGACAAAAGCTGACAAACTAAAGAAGAAATTTAGAACCCAACAAATTCTCAAATTCAGAACTCTTTCTATGTCATCACAGCATGCCTGAATGCCTAATAACAAAACGAACCCAGAACTTCCCTGCAAAGATGCCAATTCAAGGAGGGTAATAATTTATCTACTACTTGTCATTTACCATTCCTCTTTCCTTTTCATTATTATAGAACCCACCTTGTAAATTAGGGACAGAGAACTGCAAGATGGAGGCTTGGGGCAGGGGGAGGTGGCAGTTGGCAGGGAGATATATATGAGACAAGAATAGTAAATGATCATTTACTGCTGGAGAAAAAGGACCACCCCTCTTTCAATATTTTTTAAAGCTCAGTAAGTTTCTTTTTTTGAGGACTATTAAATTAACCCTACACCTTTACCTACAAGAGGACATTCATTACCTGAGTAATCTACAATGTGTGTTGGAACTCTCTCAGGTGTAACATCCGCTGGAATGGTGATTTCTTCTGCCCGGGGAGGAACCTTCATTTGAAAACAAGTATAGAAAACAAAAAACCCTTAGATATTATCAATCAAACTTGTTAATAGATGATGTATACATATCTACATATTAGTCCCTTTCACCCATACCTGTCCTTACAGATACTTGTTCTACTTTTAAATGCTTATTTTTGTGCTTTACCACAGATGCAAATATACATTAAAACTATATGATAAAACATTAAAAAAAAAAAAAACCCCATTTCTACTTGTGTGGGCACAGGTTGTATTAAGGATACTCGAGAGCTGATGCAGCCTAAAACAATACTTAAATTAATTTGGTGTTTCAAATATTAGATTTTTAAAGTACACTGTTTTCATGCTATTTTGTTGAAGGCTTAAGAGACTCTATAAATGAGGAGCTATGTTAATCCAAAACAATCCTCAAATAAAACAATAAACTATCAAAATTAATTTCTTCTACAAGATAACTGATTGGCCACATAAGCCTTATGCTTAATGATTCCATTTTCTGGGAAGACTGTATGATTGTTTAACCAACTAAAAACCCCTTATCCTCACCCAAGAGGACTATGCTAAAACAACAATTCTAAACTAAGTTCAACTATCACAGAAAACTTTTAGGTATTACACCCTGAATGATCACAAGTAATGTTACTGATTTCACAAACCATACATGAAAATACACTTCATTTCACAAATTAAGTAATTTAACCATCTTAAGAGGAAAAAAAAGCAAAAGAAACAATGAATGATCATATAACCATTGTTGAAAACACTACCACATAATACATCAAATTCCTATCTGAACAATGAAATGACACGGATATTCCTAACCAAACAAGAGTAAAGAAAGGGTAAATGCAAACTGTGGCACTAACAATACCTACTATGTGAAGAAAGAGAATAAAAAGAAGTCATTTTCATCCCATTTGCAGTGATCCCATTCCCCATACTAATATCCTAACTTAACAACAGGCCTTAGCCAGCAGTCCCTCATACCGGAACTTCCAAAACGTACATAAATATATTGCCAGTAATAATCAAACCACCTTACTTTTGGTGGCACTCTACTAGTATTTAAGCTTACCTCATTTGAGATTCACAACAATTTTTGAAGTAGGCAAAGGTGGAATGAATTAGTTTCTTCATGTGTAGAATGATAAAAGTGGATACTATTAAAGGTTTTCAAACATGTCTGTCAGAATCCTAGTGGTTCTAAAGCCTCAAAGACGGGAGCGGCAGGTGGAAGGCAGATGGGGATCAAGACCTTTCACCCTAACCTCAACTAAAGGAATACTCATCTGTTCTATATTTTGGGCTTACAAGTAACATTTTATTTTTAAGAAAGGATTACACAACTTAGATAATCTCTAACGTTCCTTTCAGCTCCCATTTTACAGATGAGAAAACTAAGGCACAGAGACGACAAATGTCTTAGCCAAGGTCAAAAAGTAGGAATGAAAAGCAATTAGGTGAACTCAGATCTAAGTGAATTCTTTCTCCTATACTGTATTTCAGGGACGTCTTATATAAACTAATATGAGCCCCTTTAAAAATCTAAACTGTCAGAAAGGAAATACATACAAAAAAGGACAGAATTTATTTTAACTCAGTTTTGAATAAATTTAAAAAATTTTAAATATAAGAAAGAAATCAAAATGTTTACCTCTTCTGGGAATTCTTCACTGACCAGAGACATAATCAGTGATGTCTTCCCAACTCTAGCTGTGAAAAGAAAAATCATTACTTTAATAAAGTGTTTAGGTTATACATAAGAGCAAAGTCAGCAACCACACAGGAAAGTCTATTACCTGTTAGCTAAAATCAGAGGCATCCAAATTAGCAAGTTTTAGTACAATACTTAAAGTATATCTCTTTTTTTTCTGCTTAGAAAAGTTTCAAATACTACTTAAAACAAAAAATTACCAAAATATACAAAAATAAAAATCTCCCATAATATCCTCATTAACAACTTAATTTATGGAGTCTCTCAGATTTTTCCTAAACTTATATTAACATGTTATAATAATTTACCACAGTGGAATCACAGTATTCATACTATTTTGCAATCTTCTTTTATCATTTAATTATCTATTTGGGCAGTATTCCATGTCAATATATAAAAACCTGCTGGGAGGGGCCGGCCCAGTGGCGCAGTGGTTAAGTGCGCACATTCCGCTTTGGTGGCCCGGGGTTCGCCAGTCCGGATCCAGGGTGCGGAGATGGCACCACTTGGCATGCCGTGCTGTGGCAGGCGTCCCACATATAAAGCAGAGGAAGATGGGCACGTATGTTAGCTCAGGGCCAGTCTTCCTCAGCAAAAAGAGGAGGATTGGCAGCAGTTAGCTCAGGGCTAATCTTCCTCAAAAAAACCAAACCAAACCAAACCAAACAAAAAAACCTCCTGGAGGGGAAAGGAAAGTTATTATTCAATGAATACAGAGTTTTTATTGGGGATGATGAAACAGTTTTAGATACACAAAGAGGTGATGGTTATACAAGATTCTGAATGTACTTAATACCCCTGAATTGTACACTTATAAATGTTTAAAATGTTAAATATTGTTTTGTATATTTTATAATTTTTTAAAACAGCAAAAATAAATCCATTTTATATTAACATTAAAAAGCCTCCATTATTTTTGATAGTTATATGAGAATCTATTGTATGATGCATCATAATTTATTAATGTAATTCCTAACAATAAACATTGTTCACGTTTTCACTTTAATAAACAATGCTGTAAGGAGGATTTCCACAGGATAAATTTCTAGAAGTGGAACTCTAGTTAGCATGCATCATCTTTTTTGTTTTTAACAGATATTGTTAAATTACCTACAACAAAGAATAAACTAATTTACATCCTCACCAATAGAAGATCAGCGTCTATTTCTACACATCCTTATATTCTCTTTTTTTTATGGTATCATATTTAAAGGGTTAGAGCTAAAAAAACTTCCCAGTTACATTTTCTAATCTAGAAATTTTTTAAAGGCACAAACTTAAAAACCTTAATTTTCATTCTGAAATTTGACTTCCATTCCCATCACTTTCTGATCATACAATTACTACTGTTAGACATTCAACTGCTTATCAACTAAACCCTTTTGTGATTCTAGAGGGAAACAGTCCACCTGCATATTAATCTCTGTCATAATAGCAAATTAGTTTCCAAAAGTAAAGTCTAAATATAAAAGAACTGGAAAATTTAAGTTAAGAAAAGTCATATTCCTTTCTTAAATGACTAAAACAAAGGGTGACTAAGAACACGAGTCCAGTCTCCGGAAAAACAATGAATGGCTGGAAAGGAGAACACTGGTCAAAACAACGTAGCGGGTGTGCTGTGAGCAAGTGAGCACTGCTGGTGGAGGGACAGAGCAGACGGCTGACAGGTGGCTTCCAGCTCTGATTCTGCAGATCTTTTCAACGGACTTGTGTGAGCAGGCTTGGGCCTTGTCCAAGCGGCTGACAATCAGATAACATTTCCGAGTTCCGACCATGTCAGTGAATCCAGAGCCCGTCATCACAGAGCTGCTAGCACCTAGTCATTGACGTCAGCTTGTCCAGCTCCCCAGAAAGCTTTCAGATGAAGAACCCGGAATCTAAAAACAGTGATTTTCTCAAGGTCTCAGTGAAAGAGCAGTTGCAGACCTAAGAGAATAACCCATCTCCTGATGGCTAAGTCAGTGTTCTTTCTCTCTCTTATGCTATACTTTAAGAAATACTATGGGGGCCAGCCCCATGGCCAAGTGGTTAAGTTCGTGTGCTCCACTTCGGGGGCCCACGCCCATCAAGCCACACTATAGCAGCATCCCACATAAAATGCAAGAAGACTGGCACAGATGTCAGTTCAGGAACATTCTTCCTCCAGCAAAAAGAGGAAGATTGAAAACAGATGTTAGCTCAGAGCCAATCTTCCTCACAAAAAAAATAAAATAAAAATATTAACACGACTAATACAAAAAATGAATAGTGACCCCTAAAGTCAGCAAGCACTGTATACACAAATACTATGTAAGTTAATTAAAATATTCACTGATTCAGTGGTGACTAATCCAGCACCTCCTTTTTTTTTTTTAACTTATTGTGAGAAAATTTCAGACAGAAAAATAGCAAAATAATACAAAGGAGTCATGTCTATCCTTTAAACAAATTCCCCAAATGTTAACATTTTACCATATTTGCATATCATTTTCTTTCTCTCTTAATACATATATTTTCAATCATTTGAAAGTAAGCTGCAGACATGATGCCCCTTTACCCTTAAGCACCTTTGTGTGTATTTCCCAAAAAACAAGACCATTCTCTTACATAACCACCATGCACTATCAAGATAATGAAATTAACCCCAATATAATACTATTATCTAACTTACAGACCTCATTCATATTTCACCATTTGTCCCAATGTTATCTTTTATAAAAAAGAAAAATGTTTTTTTTTTCTGTCCAGGAGCAGATGTTGCAATTAGTTGTCCTGTCTCTTTAGTCTCTTGTAATCTGGAGGAATTCCTCAATCTTTTTTATCTTTCATGACCTCAACAATTTTGAAGAATCTAGCCATTTAATTTGTAGAATACCCCTCAACTGGGTTTGTATGATATTTTCTCATCATTAATTTCATATTTTGCATTTTTGGCAGGAATACCCCAGAAGTGATATTTTGTCCTTAGAGCATCACAGCAGGAGGGAGAGGATGTCATTACTGGTGATGTTAGCTGTCATCACTTGGAGGAGGTGGTGCCTGCCAGGTTTCTCCACTGTCAAGTTATTATTTTTTCCTTTGTAATTAATATGTATCTTGTGAGGAGATACTTTGAGACTATGTAAATATTCTGTTTCTCATCAAACTTTTGCTTTTTGTTTTCCTTCTTGTTTTAGCATCCATTCATGATTCTTGCCTGAAACAAGGATTGCTGTAGCGGTTGCTAGGCGGTCATTTTCTATTTCTATCAGTCCTTCTACATCACTTTGCATTTTATTGTAAGGAAAAACTTTCCCTTCTGATTCATATCATATGGTCTCATGGATTCTTTTACTATTCTATGAGTTAAAATCCATTACTCTTGGGGGCCAGCTCTGTGGCTGAGTGGTTAAGTTCCCACGCTCCGCTGCGGCAGCCCAGGGTTCGGATCCTGGGCGCGGACATGGCACCACTCGTCAGGCCACGTTGAGGCGGCGTCCCACATCCCACAACTGGAAGGACCTGCAACTAGGATATACAGCTGTGTACGGGGGGGGGGGGGGGGGGGG